TGATTGGCCGAAAGGAGAAGTGCGGGCAGGGGGGCGCGAGGGGGCTCCTCGCGGGGGCGGATCCCAGGGAGCAGCCGAGCTTCGCTGATTGGTCGGCGGTGGGCGGGCGCGCGCGCGCCGCTGGCGGCGGCCCGGCTGTGAGTGGTGGTTCTGGCCCGGGGGGCGGGAGCGGGAGGGGGAAGTGAGGGCCGAGCGTGAGCCGGGCGGGTGGACGGACGGACGGACGGACGGACGGACGGAGGGACCGGGGGAGGGGGCAGCGGCGCGGCCAGCTCCGCCGCCTGAGGAGGGCCGCAGGCGGGGACGGGCGAGCCCCGATGCCGGGGGGGACGGAGGAGCCGCGACCCCCGGAGCAGCAGCAGCCGGAGCTCGAGCTCGAGCCTGAGCAGCAGCGGCCGGAGCAGGAAGGGGCGGAGGCGGCCGAGGCACCCCCGGAGCAGGAGCAGCAGCAGCCGCAGTCGCCGCCACCTCCAGCGGCGGCAGCAGCCGCGGCGGCCGGCGGGGCCACCGGCAGCCGGGTGCTGAGAGGAGGACGCGAGCGGGGCCGGGCCGCGGCAGCCGCCGCGGCTGCTGCCGCCGCGTCCCGTCGGAGAAAGGCGGAGTACCCCCGGCGGCGGAGGAGCAGCCCAAGCGCCCGGACAGGGGACGCCGCGGAGGCGCGGCGGGAGGCCTCGGCGGCGGAGCCGGCCCCGGCCAAGAAGAGCTCTCGACTCTCGTGAGTAACCGGGGCTTGAGACGCTTCCCCCTCCTCCCTCTTCCCCTTGTCACCGCGGCCGGCCCACCCCTCCCTCTCGGCCGCCGTAGTGCCAGCTCCACGTGACGGCGTGCTGTCTGCCCCCTGCTGGCGCGGGAGGAGCTTGACCTGTGTCAAGCTCTTTCGCCTGCGTTTATTGAGTGCTTGCTGTGTGCGAGATGACAAAAGGAAAAGTGGCCGCTGTTGGGAGGGCGGTGCTGCAGGCACACACAGAGAGAGCTGGGGCTGAGAAGAGAAAGGGAAACGCGCCTGCACGGCTGGCGGTGGGGGGTGGCAGGAAACGAGCGCACAGAGAGGGCGAGCTGCTGGCGCCTCTGGGGCTTCCTCGCTTTTTACTCGTGTTTGAGCTAGAGCTTCCTTAGTCCCAATCCCTAGCTTGGGAGGTGGGTGGCATCATTTATGGTAACTGTAGCCTCAGTGCTCATCAGGGCGGTGCTTAATAAAAGCTTGTTGAATGATGCCCAGAGGATTTGAAAGAGTATCTTGTGTTAACATGCTTCAAATGCTCTGCCATGCACGTGTTGTTTCCGTCTTACTGTGGGTACTCATTGATGCCAGGAAACTGGGGGTCAGATTCAGGTGACTTCCCCGGGGTTTGGCAGCTAATAAGTGTCCTTCCAGTTAAGGACTCCCCTAACTTCCAAAACACCTCGCAACACTGCTCCGACCAAGTGACTCACCCGACAGCTAGTATGTGACAGAGGAGGGGGAGGATTTGAACCCAGGCTCTTCTCCACATTCAGGTCACTTTCAACACCATACTGGTTCCTTGACTCTTTAGCAAAGAAACCCCTTCCCCGACGTTTACATCTTCCAGCCAATGTTGTTTCCCCTCTGAAGCGATCCTCGTAGCTCTTTTCCATAACTACAAATTGACTGTCGCATGCCTTTTTCTCTCCTCCTACTCTGGCGTCCAGCCTTAGCATTAGTTCTCTTCCGTGAAATCTTACAGCCCTTTCGGTATGTCGCTGTAAATCAGTCAAGTATTTATTAAGCACCAGCTGGGTGCCCTGCTGTGTGCAACAGGCACTTGGGGATAAAAGTGGGAAGATGAAAACAGTCCTTGATAGCAGAGTTTACCCCACTATACCATCTTTTATTGTTGCTAGCCTCAGCTTTCTCAACTTATTTTAAACCTTAGGTTTCTATATCTCTTTAAGTTTTAATATCCACACTACTTAGTGTATTATATAGGTGTCGTTTGAATTAGTACATGATTTATTCGATTTTTTTCAGATTTTTCCCAGTTCACACTTCACTCCTCCAATTATCTGAAGTCTAGTTCCATTTTTATTTTGACTTACTCAGAATTAAATTTTTTTTGTTGTTGTCAAATAAGGTGGGTGTTAATGCTTAATTTTTTTTTTCTTTTTAACTCAAGGAGTTATTTCCAGGTGTGGAAACTACTATTAAAATAATTGCTTTCCTAATTAGCTAGAAACTAACCCACGGGAAGAAAAAAAATGACATTGTCGCCAAACAAGACAAAAGCAATTAAATGTCACGATTAATACCTTTATATTGAAGTAATCCCCATTCTGTTACATTGACATTTTCAGCTTTTCGAAAGTTATTTAATCTAGCTGGTTGGAATAGAGTGCTAGATCTAGGGTCAGGAAGACTTAGTTCAGATCTGTCCTCAATACTACCTACTAGCACTAGCCACTAGTACTAGCTAGTACTACGTACTAGCAATGTGTTCCTGGGTAAGTTACTTAACTTCTGTTTGCTTCTGGCTCCTCAATTGTAAAGTGGGGATAATACTATTACCTACCTCTCAGGGTTGTAGTGAGGATCAAATGAGTTAAGTATTTGTAAGGCACTTATCACATAATAGGAACTTAATAAATACTTGTTTCCTGTCTTCTGGGCTTCACTTGGTTCATCTGTAAAAATGATGAGGTTGACCTCCTGGTTCCTTCTCAGCTCCCAAAACCTGTGATCTGAAAAAAGAAAATTCAAAGTGAAAAATTAACTAGTTGAAAATATAAGGAGAGTCTTAGGCAAAATTTATTTAGCAATTAAATGTTTCATACTACCAAAAATATGAATGGAAGTAATTGGAGTATGCTAGACAGAAACCAATATAGTTCAAAAAGAAGAGCATATTTGTTTCCAAAATTAGGACGGATTTAAAGTCACTGAATTAATGGGAGTGCTTCATCAGCTACTCATAAGTTATTTTTGGAATGGCATAACCATTTACTCTAGTTAGTATAGTTATTTTTGACCTTTTGTATCAGATGCATTAGAAATCCTATACAGACCTGTTTCTGAAATATGAGGAAATGATCTTGAAAAGATACACCTCATTTCCTCCTTTAACAATTGAAATAATTCAGAGGCTCATAGCTAAGTCACTGGTGCAGAAACAGACGCGTTTTACTGGTAGTATATACAAGCATGAACATCACATCTTGCTAGATGTAGTTGCAGTTTTCACTTGGTAGTCAGAAGAGATTTATAGTTCCTACTTTAGTCTCGTGGAATGGGTGGCATGATAGTAGGTAGGAGGAATTCCCACCTCCTTCCTTCTCTTTCACAGTGATGCTCAGCTTACGTACTCACTATATTGCCCTCAGAATTGTCTTCATTCAGTTATTTAAAGTTTGGTTTTTGAGTCAGGTGGTATAAAAAAGTAAAAAAAACAATTCTTTTCAATATTGTCCCCTTTCCCACTCACTTCTTGAAATTGAGTATTGCCTTTCTCTTGCCACAATTTATGTGTTTGTTGAATTCTTTTTACATTAAACTTAATTCTTTTAATTAGGAAAAAACTTACCTCAACCTTCTGACTGCAACCCCCGCCCGCATTTGAAAACAAGTGGAAAACAAAGCCCATTACAAAGATGTATAATTAAGCAAAACAAATTGTTTAATTTTCAATATTTGCAGTCTACCAGTCCCAGAATAACTTCGGGAGTAGTAACTGTATCAGCTGCCACGATATCCATTTCTTTTAGTGAAGGATGTTGCTGCCAAAGTTTTGAATTGTGGATCTACTCATGAAAGACTCAAACAGTATACTTTTTTTTAAGTCATGCTAAAGATGAATTGTGTAATGCTGTTTCTCGTGCCTGATATTGCCAGAAGGGAAGGAGGAGTAGCCCCCATTCTGGTTCCTTATCTCTCCCTCTTCTGATTCACCATTTCAGTAGAAAAGAATTGCATACCTGTACATATTTTCTACATTATTTCAGCCTCCAGAGTTATCTGCACAGAGTTGTGCTTAAAAAGGCACATACTTGTAAAAATTTCTTCTGCTAAGACAAGTTTTAATTATCATCTTAATATTAATATGTGATATAAACCCTTGGTTTCTTGAGTAGGGTAGGAGAATTCTGATTAATCAGGAACTTTGGTTAATGGAAGGTTATATACCACGTTCAGTTCACAGAATTAGACTACAGTAACTATACTATAACTTAATCCTTTCATTCAGAAAAGTTTTCGTCACTTCTGAATCATGATGAAAATCAGTTGTAGGTATAAGATTGGGGGATTTGCCATTTCTGTAACTGAATTTGGAAAGTGAGGGTTTTTTTTCCCCTTTTAAACAAATCTTAAATATCAGCTTATTTATCCCTTTGTTTATCAGTTTGTCTCCCTTTGTTGAAAGTAGATTGCAAAGAATTTGCAACTACAAATCTCAACCTAGACTACCAGTGAATGGAGGCTTCTGGTTATTAGGAGTGCATAATTAACCAGTTTTTATTATAATTGAGTGGTATTTAAATTTTCCATTGCTATCTTGATTATGTTTTTTTTTTTGCTTTGCTTATTACATTTCTAAAGAATTGTCCTCTTGGATTAACATGCTGTACAATTCCAAATATAATAAACATTTAATAGATGAAAGGTGAAGGAAATTTTGAGATATTAGATCATTTACTTTCTAAGAGAAAATATTTAATTTTGTGTCTGAAATAAGAACTAAAATTGTGCACAATTTTTGCTTGGTTTTGGTTGTATTCCCTTGTGGTGCCAAAATCATCCTAGTATTTTCTCTGTGTTGTGCAATGTGGGAATTACTAGAGCTATAAACTTTAGGTTTGGCAAGATTATAATGCAGAAAATCAAGCCAAGGTTTGAAGATAGTTATGAGTGCTCAAATTGGGAAAAGCATTTGCTTTTAGCTTGACATTTACTCTCAGGTCAAGCAAGACCAGCTGGAGCTATTTGCCTAAACTGGAAGTGTTTTCAAACAACATAAAGTTAAATATAACATGATATGTACGAGAACATGACCCGTTTGCATGCACCTTCAGTAAGGTCTTCTCTCTGCTTCCTAATTCATTTAGGGTCCTAAAGACGTAGACTTAGATTCATCAAAGGGCCTCTGTGGTCATCTAGTCCAACCTATTCATGAAGGGAGTTTCCGCCCTTACACGCCTGGGAAGTGGTGTTATCCTGTGGTAGCCAGCCTTTGCTGAAAGACCTCCCCCTCTAGGGGTGATTCCACCGCTTCTGCTTTTAGACAGCCTGAATTGTTTTCCTGACATCAAGCCTAGACTTGCCTCATTGCCGCTTTGACCCCGTGCTTCTTGTTCCTCCCACTGGGGACAAACAGAACAAATCTGGTCCCTCTAGCCCGTGGCAGACCTTCCAGTAGTTGAAGAGCCCAATCTATCGTGTCCGCCAGATCTTCTCTTGAAGCTGAACATGTCCATTTCCTTCAGTGTGTCCTCATATGTCATGGACTCAAGGTATTTCCCCATCCTGGTTACCTTCCTCTGGACGTTCTCCAGCTTATCAGTATCTTTCTTCCAGTGTTGCCCAGAACTACACACAGTCCTCCAGATAAAGTCCGAGGAGGGCAGAGGACAGTGAAACTCAACTCCCTGTTCTTGGAAGCTCTGCCCCTCTTGAGCTTTTTTGGTTGCCCCGTTTCACTGCTGACCCAGTGAGCTTGTGGGCCACTAAAACCTTGAGATCTTTTTCATAACAACTGTTGTCCCTGGCCTTCCTCTGGTTTGTAAAAGTGACTCTTTATATTCCACATGAAGGACTTGACATTTTTCTTTATTGAATTTCATCTTAATAGATTGGGTTCAATGTTCTAGCCTTTTCCCGTCGTTTCAGTTTTGTCTGACTCACCTTATTTAGGGTTTTCTTAGCAGAGACACTAGAGTGGTTTGCCATTTCCTTCTCCAGCTCATCTTATAGGTGAGGAAACTGAGGCAAACAGGATTAGGTGACTTGCCCAGGATCACAAGCTAGTAGTGCCTGAAACGAGATTTGAACTCATTAAAATGAGTCTTCCTGACTTCAGGCCTGTCACTGCTCTATCCACTATGCCACCTACCTGCCTGTGTCACCTATTAAAGGTCTTATTTACTAGCATTGAGGCATTAGCCTTTGTGCCTATAATTTTTTAACTTGTAAATGCTTATAATACAACTTTTCCATTAATAGAGATTTGTAGAAGTAGTGTAATCTGTATAAAGATGAGAGATTAGGCTGTAGGAAACCCTGCTCAATATAAACTTTTAAAAATGTGTAATGTAGCTTCAAAATCACAACTATAGTATTATACTCTTTACAACTTGTGGGACATTAATTGTTTTGGGAGGAAAGCTATGTTGGTGTCCGTAAGTGATTTCATGATTTATTGCTTCTTATGTCATAAAGTGGTATTATGAATAATAAGGATGAAGCACATTTAATAACCTAAGTTATAAAACCATGGTTTGGCTGCTTTAGGGAAAAGTTGTTTCATATATACAATCTCAGATCTCCTACCCATCTCCACACACAGTTATGGTGATGTAGGCACTGAACCATTCTTGAAACTTTTTGGTTCTAAAAAAAAATTATTTTAATGCTTTAAATTTTAACATAACATCACTATAAGTATGTAGGGATATTTTGAGTTGGTGACTAATGTCTTTATAGAGATACATGGCAGCCACTATCTTGATTACTTTACTGAAATGTGTTGAAAGAGCTTTCTTTTTTGGTCAGCACAAGCACAAATGATTATCCAGCTACTCTATTAAACCAAAATGGAATTTGCTTATGTTGTGGCTTTTCTCTTTTTCAGGAATTTGTTTGTAATATAAAAGAGTTTTCATTCATTTTTGTTAGATATATTGGAATTTGAAAAAAAAATAAAACTGAGTACTGTTCAGAAGCGTCTCATCTGCATTTGTTTAAAGTACCACATGGACAGTAATACTTTAAGAGCTCCTCTCTGGTTGTATGGCTTGTAAAAAACCATCTATATTTGAGTCAATTTGTACACATGAGAGAACTATGCTCTGAAATTTCTGAACTATCATTGAAAAGGGGTAAGTTAACCAGCCACTTATGAATCCTAGTGACATTTTCTTCAGCATAGTAGATAGTCACAATCTTATTTGGTTCCTAAAACAGTGTAATATATTAATATCATAAATGAGGAAATGCAGAAAATATTCCACTTACATTTAATCTTTCGTTTCTTTCAGATACACAGAAAAAGTAGTGGCAACCAGTAAAGGTAAGACTTTATTACCCCTTTCTCCATGCGTGCTTTATTTTGATTAACTTGTAAGATGAGAGAAAATGTAATAATAATTCATTTCAGTTTCCATTTAAAGAGGTCTTTCTTATTAGTTGAAAAGGGTCCTTTGTGCTGTAGTGGCTATTTAGGTGCCCTGCAGATTTAGGCATGAGGCTCCTCCGTTGACAATAATCTTCCAAATAATCATTGGTAGGAAAACTTATCTCTTGTATGGCACTTTCATTTTCTTTTATGACTTTGTTTGAAGAATTATTCTTCTTCTAGTTGGTATGTCGGCTATCTCAGCATTAATATAAACTGTTACTAGAATTGCAATTTGAGGAATAAGGAAAGAAGAAAAAGGTATCCTCATATATCAAGCCAACAAATAATCACTGTCCTTTTCTGTTGTAATAGGTTAGCGTAGTGGTTCTCAAAGTATAGTCCAGGGACCCTTAGAGGTCCTGGAGACCCTTTCAGGTGATCCACGAGGTCAAAACTATTTTTCTAATAAGGAGTCATTTTAATTCCTAATACTGTAAATATCAGTAGATAGCCACATAAACAAAAGCTGAAACGTTATTACTGTAATACTTTATAATACAGTAATAATCTACTATAATTTATTACTACAAGGAACTGTACTAGATGTTAGGGATACCACACAAGTGAAATAGTCCCTGCCTTCAAAGAGCTTATATAATGCCAATAGAAGGTTTACAAACTGGTTAATTTGCATTGGTTCTGTGAGTTAGGCACTACAGGAATTATCCCCGTTTTAAAAAGTGGAAACCAAAAAAGTTAATTGTCAAGTATTTATTAAATGAGTCACTATATTAAATTCTGGGGATACAAAGACAAAACTAAGATAGTCCCTGCCTTCAAGGAGCTTACATTCTACCAGGAAGATAATATGCCCATAAATAAATATATACACAGTATATACAAATGTATTAGCAGCTGTGGGAATCAAGTGTATCTTTGTGTGGAAAGTGACACTTGAAGAACATTTAAAGGAAATGAGATTCTCAGAGATGGGCAGGAGGAAGGCAGTGCATTCCAGGCAGTAGGGACAGCCAGTACAAAGTTAGAGAAAAGGAGATGGAATTTCATGCGTAAGTAATAGTAAGACCAGTTTGGCTGGACCATAGAATTCAGGAAAAAGTTTAGGTTATAATAAGGCTGGAAAGACTTGAAAGAGAGGTGTACATTTTGGGCACAAGCCCAATTGAGTAATTTGTTTTGCTTGACTCTGAATATTTATAAAAGTGATGACTTTTTTCCTCCCCCTCAGTGAGGGAAGGGTAACTGAGAGGGATGGATGGTAATTGTATCCAAAAAAACCTGTTACCCAAAAGAAGAATAAATATGTAAAAATAGAATATCATTTTTTTAAAAGTAATGCTAATAAATTAGGTTAGAAAGGTGATATGATAAGATAGGGCTCAGTTGTGTGGGGCTTTAATAACCAGACTGAGGAATTCTGTTTGGTCCCAGAGGCCACAAGGGAGCATTGGAGAGCCAGTCTTGGTAAGTGAATTATCCAAGTTCTAACTTTGATCACCATGTTGAAGCTCCTCTTTATTCCAAGTCTGATGTTGCCTGTCATTGAGTATAGTCATCCAGTCATCTGTCCATATATACAAAAAGATAGGCTAGGACTCAGATTTTTAAAGAGTGATACTTTATAATGTAATTGAGAATAGACTTTACGAAAAAGAAACTGTTGTCCTGGATGGATCCCTTGGTCTGAGACAGTGCGGTACAGGATAAGAGGGGCTAAACTTGGAGTCAGAGATTCTTACTTTGCATACTTTGGCAAGTCACCTAACTGCTGGGCCTCAGTTTCTTCATCTGTAAAGTGATGGGGTTAGATTAGATCACTTTAGGGTCCCTTCCAGTTCTAGATCTCTGATCTGTCCTCCCCTGTTAGTCATTCACTGGGTTCTCTTTGATGTCAGTTCCAATTGTTAAAGTACCTTAAAATTATACTATTTCTCTAAAACTGGAAAACCAATAGGATATTTACTCACTCTGTGCTTGGGCCTGTTTTCCTCAGCCTTTTTTCATCAGTTAAGAATTTAAGACTAGTTGACTGGCTATTGAAGGTGCCTTCACCCTGTTGTTACCTTGTTCTTGACATCATTAGCATTGCCTTATATTGAGGAATAAAGAAAGGAATAAATTTTAAAAAATGAGTGTCATTCCAACAGGCTTGGTTTTAACATGGATGTACCATCACAACTTAGTAATAACACTTTATAATAATAAAGCATACAGAATTCAGTATTTCCCTCTAAACTAAAAAGTTGTTGTGTAGTCAAGTCCAACTCTTTGTGACCCTGTGGACCACGTTGTCCAAGGAGTTTTCCTTGGCAGAGATAATGGAGTGGTTTCCTTCTCCACTGGATTAAAGCAAACAGAGGTTAAGTGACTTGCCTAGAGTCACACATCTAGTAAGTATATGAGGTCAGATTTCAACTCAGTTCTTCCTGACTCCAAGCCCAGCGCAGCACTCTATTCACTGAGCCACTGGCTGCCCTCTAAACCAAATCCTCTAAATTTCCTCTTTCTGTTGAGGAAAGAGGATTGTTATCCCACTTCATCACACTAGAGTCATCAGTAAGTGTTCCCCTCTCAATCAAGCCATGTAGCCAACTAGTTGGTAAGTCTTATAGGCGTTCTACTTCTTCGACATCACTTGCATTTGTAGCAACTCATCTTTGTAAATATTGTAGAAGATAAGGTCTTTGAGGGCAAGGATGTTTTTTGTTTTTATTTCTATATTCCCAGTATCCAGCACTATGCCTTGAACATAGTAGGTACTTAATAGTAGGTGTTGAATTGTTGAAACTTTACAACAGGAAGGATAAAAGAAAAGTGCAGACTGAAAAACAACTTAGAGTTCTGAAAGGAATGATCCCGTGACCATCTTCCATGTTGTTTTTAGCATTAGAAAATTGCTCTTTTGGGGCAGCTAGGTGGCACACAGTGGATAGAACTCCAGCCTTGGAGTCAGGAGGACCTGTGTTCAAATCTGGTCTCAGATACTTGACACTTACTAGCTGTGTGACCCTAGGCAAGTCACTTAACCCCATTGCCTAGCCAAAAAGCAGAAAAAGAAAAAGAAAAGAAAATTGCTCTCTGCCTCAAAAATAATCACCATTCTTACTCTGTGCTTAGTTTCAATTGAACCTTCCCATCCCTGTTGTTAATGTTGTGACCTTTTCATTTTGGACAGGTTTTTATGCTTAGAAGGTGAGTGTAGTGGAATTCTCTTTAGGTATTTGAGTATTTTTTTTTCTGAAAGGTCCAATATTATACATTTTAAAGACGTTTTTCTGATTTTTTTTGAATGTGCTAAAATATGAAGCTTTATAGGATTTTGAGTTGGAAGAGAGGATTTTGGGATTATCTAGCCCAGTTTGCTCATTTTACAGACAAGAAAACATTCCCAAAAAGGTTAAACGAATTACCCGGTGTCATGTAAGTGACAGAACCAGGATTCAAACTGGGATCCTCTGACTTCATCCAGCTCTTTTAGTATTTCATTGTGCTCCCCCTCTCACTTTTCATAAGAGAATGTTGCTTTCTCTTCATCCTACATGTGCATGTAATAGAAAAACAGAATCTAGTTTAGTTGACGTTTCTAACTTTCAACATGTATACAGATCTATGTACACATGTGTGTGATAATGGCATTACTTATGATCAGGATGAAAAAATGTCTTTAGATTACAGAATTGGAATGGTGAGTGGCAAAAACAGTATCATTTTCTCACCTACCTTAATAGGTTCTACCTTTGAAAACCCCTGAAACTTTGACTTGTAATCTTTATTTGCTTCTTTGGACCTCAGGTCTACTCATTTGCTAAATGGAGGGTTTGGACTGGTGATAATTAATTTCCTTCTGACTTCTCTTCTGTGTAAGCAAGGATTGTCTTTTCTGTCAGTAGCGGAACTTGAACCTCAATCCTTGACGTAGCTCTATTGGCAACTGTCTATTGTATTCTGGTTTGGCTTTTCTATCCTACCCTTTCAACTACAGCTCATTGTCGTCATCGAAAAAGTGTTTGAGCTTGTCCCTTGCGCTGATTTACATTTTATCAGTGTATTCAAGTGGGATCCCTACTTTACATCATTAACCTTTACTTTTTTGTGTTCTCTAAACTAAGGAAAGCATTAGGTAATAAGGATATTGCTTGCATTAACAGTTCTCTGAAAGATCTCTTTTAAACCTCCATTATAAAAGTGAGTATTAAGTCACTCTGCTTAGGAGCAGAGTGGAGTGGGAGATGGGAAATATACTCATTCAGTAAGATTCTTGGTGAGCCTCTTTTTTATCTCTTGGTGGTGCTTATCTCAGACCCCTGTTTTCAGCCTCCACAGCTCACTATTTCAAACTGATAATACCTAAATGCCAATTCAAGACCCAACTTCTTTATGTCCCCTAAATATTGTTTTTGAAGACCCATCTTTGACACATCTCTCTCTAGTCTGCGGCTCAGACCCTAAGCAGACCCAGCCCTGCTTCCTCACTTATGCATATACCTAATAAAATATGAAGTCTTCTGATAGTTTTTCAACCAATATGAAGTCCTGTGAGAGACCATTTGAAAATAATAGCTAATACTTATGTGTCATATCACAGATGTTATCTCCTGTCTTTCTGTTCCTAGCTACGTTGGGATTGGAGGTAGGGTACATTGTACAACATACTACTTTGGTGTGTTTAAAAATTGCCCAGTGGGGGAATATGCTTCATAGCATTGTTTTTAGGGATACAGTGCAAAGAAAGCTAGAAATGCTTATAGTTGAATTTCTGAAGAGTTGCATGGATAGAGAACCCTATTTCCCAAATGCTTTGTATTTCTTTCCAGGGGGAAAATTGATTCCTTAGCTTCCTAAAGTTGTACTTACAGGAAACCATTACAAACTAAGCTTAAGTGAAATTTATGATTTGTTTTAAACTGTGCTTTAAGTATTTTGCAGGTTTT